AAATAGAAGAAGGTTTGCTCTTCCATAATAGTCAACATTCCGATCTGCAGGTCCACCTCGTTAGCGATGGAGTCTTTTATGAAACACACCACGACTTCTCGGGTAAACAGAAAATTCTCTGCTTACTTCTTTGTGTTCGTATCAGTGTGCTAGGTGCGCAATGATAAGATCTGTCTCTCATCTTCAGCGAGGGTATCATCATCCTCTCCGGCTTCTTCATTAGCGATGCGGAATATACCAGCATCATCATCCTCGTCTGGGTCAGCAATAGTGTCATCGGTATTGCTTATGATCTCATCTTCGATAACGATTTGATCGACACTTAATTTCTTCTTGTAGTCCGGTATTTCGACACACGATGAGCAAGAGCCGGAAAGGTTTTTGCACGACCATATCCCTCACCCCCTTAAATTATAGTCACACTGTAAATGGATGGGTAGGCGTGACTGGCTTGCGCCATTACCAAATAACGGTGTATGCGTTGTCGACGCATGCAAGAATTTCGTACTGGCAAACTCCACTCATCAGCAAAAAAGTCACTTTTATCTGTCAAACATTGGTCATATCCTTAAAGCGTCCCTTCGAGGAATTGGTCGCTGCGTTCTGTCTGACCGTCAATCTCGGGATAGTTAAAGTTAACATTTACAATTTGTGTTCCGATAGATAGGAACACATATTGTAAGCGCCGTCGTAAAACAAGGGTCTTTATGAGATTAGCTGACGGGAATTAACTCGAATAAGGAATGTTGCATCAATGAAGACACTGTCACAGCCCTGTGATAGAATCTCGAACGGCATTAGGATGTATGATCTTGCTGTAACGATCAACGAGCACAAGAATACCATTATTCTTGTGAGCGTCTTCGAAGAAACTGATTATAAAGTCCATTAAAACGGACTGCCTACACTTGCCGGGACTAGCAGAGTCTGTAGTGGCGCACGGGATAAATGAAACGACTCTACCCGTTAGCAAACCTCGCAAGCACAAATGTACTTGCGCAAAAACTGATATTGGCGGGGCCAAAAAGAAGTCGCGCCTTATCGTGAAGTTAGTCTTCTCACGCCCTCGATGGCCACCGCATGGTGCATCACGACATTCATACACGATGCGAAGGCGCAAATCGTTGAAAATACGGACGACAACACCAGGTGTGATACTGGCAACGGCTATACATTAGAGCAAACCGTGCGTTTTGTGTATCAATCCTCTGCGGGTAGATACAAGGCCGGTAAGTCTTTGACATATTTGCGATGTGGAGTCACCAGATGTTCCATTAGTCGCAGAAGAGATCTATTATCTGCGCAGGACTTTTGGCGTCGTCAAACAATGCTAACGGCAGAATATTATTGACTAGGCAACAGTAATGTCGACCCCACGGTTGGACAGTGCAGCCGACATTAAAACGGGCTGGCGCGATAATACGTCTGCAACAACAATTAGTCGTACGGGTTTGCTCTCCACGGAGACGTTGTAATCCGCGAAGTAGGACAGCTACCTCGCCATCTTTTGCGAGAGGTGGTGACAATTTGCGGACGTGCGCAACGACGCACGGTCCACAAGGACTACAAATGGCTTATATCCTAGGAGTACACGCGAAAAGTTACCAGTGCATATTTCATGGCAAGGTGTTCCTTGTCATGCACCAATCAAATTACGATCAGCTGCTTGCAGCTGACGCGATTGATAACAGACGACGCGCTCTACGTCGTCTGGGTCGTGCTGCATTAAAGCGCAGCCGATTAAGAAATAACTTGCGTCACAGACCACGTGAAATTGTCTGCACTGGTCTACAAGCGCCAAAACAGGAGATTGTATCGAGCTTTTTTATACCTTCGACGGAATGATGACACTCAGCACTTCATGACCACCCCTTGTTTTTCTGCGACAAACGAGAGAGATGTACAGTCATCTCGGCGTAGTTGCGCGAGTGCTAGTGTAAGTACGCCGCTAGACAAAGGAACTTTAAAATTCCCTTGACATCGACTGGCATAGACCAGTCGGTAATTGCCTTAATCTTTTAGGGATCAGGGTGTACGCCGTGTTTACCCACGATGCAGCCAAGAATTGGTATTTCGCTCGCTGCGAATATACACTTCTTGAGGTTCGCGAACAAGTCATGCTCACGCATAAGTGCAAGAACCTTTTAGGCGTGGAATCTATGAATTTTTACGTCCGTCTTTCCATCCATATCCCGGCTATGGACGAAGACATCGTCAAAGTAGCTCGGTGCTAAGTCGCGCACCGATCGCAACAGATTCGTAACACATATGTTAAACGTTGCGGGGGCGTTACTTATCCTCTGTGGCATCACTAGCCACTCCCAGAGCATACCACTTGTGGTGCTCACTGCTGTGTGAGGGATGTCCCGTTCACACATGAGGATCTGATAGAATCCATCCATCAGAGCCATGGACGAAAAGAAGGTACTCTTTGCCATACCATCAATGATGACGTCCTTCCTCGGGATCGGCGTTTGTGCCAGTACCGTTGCAGCGTTTGATTTGTTGAATGCGTGCACTATCCGCCACCCTCCTGTGGCCTTTCGCACACAGAAGGTCGGAGAGCTGTGTGGGGATGTTGATTCCCTCACATGACCAGCCGCTAAGCGATCGGCAACGAATTTGTCGATCGCTGTGAAATGTTCTCGAAGAAGTGGCCACTGCTTCGAGACACAGTACTTCGAACCAGTTTTCAGTTCGACCGCATGCCGAGTGCCTTTGTCCTTGGCCAGATCGCATGGCACGGATTCAGGGAAAACATCCCTAGATTCGACCAAATCCTTATACTAAGGATTTGTCTTCAAAGATTCCCAAGATTAGGAAGTGTATCGCAAAATCCGGTTCTTCTCATCGAGGACACTCTCGTCCATCGATGAGCTACTGATAACCCGTTCGTTCTCAGTAAACGCTTGTACCGACCGAATGTCGGTCACGTAATTGTCCTCGGTGACGAGTACGCAGATCTGATTGATCTTGTCACTGCGCAAATCTCGCAAGAATCGTTTAGATTCTAGCTTTAGCAACTTGATTACCTTCGAAGCTGACTTCGGAGGTGTAACCAGATCAAGTGTGTAAGCGCCTACACTTGATCCTTCATTCACCAAGACATTCAAAGTATCGGTGCTATCCTGGAAAACACATCCGCAGGTGGTTGGGGAAACACACCCTCAAAATAACTCTCTCGGGAGTTATCACTCTCAGGAACGCTGGAACTTTCTTCCAATACGTGTTCTGAATGTGGGTGCACTACCACGTTCACGTCCTCTTCGATGGACTCTCTTTCAGTCGAGCGGGCTTGCTCTGTGATCAACTCTCTGTTAGTCGATCTCGCTTTAACATGTTGTCCATCCTGAGCAGTACTAATTTCTCTTCTTGGTTGTACCCTTCTTAGTGTGCATCCGTATTCCAGTCCACTCGATCTCTTCGGGTGGTGAATCTTCGGTGCAGCCTGTGTCTCTCTACTCAGGTTCCGGAAGCTGCCTGTGTCTGCAGATGCAGCCTGTGTCTCTCTACTCAGGTGCCGGAAGCTGGTTCCACAGTGTAGTGGTCTTCTAAACTGCGATCTTGTGTAGTCGTACTAACGACCGTACTACAAGTGAGGCCATCGCACTCACTCGCAGTACGTCCACACGCCTGTGGTCGCTCCATGACGTCCATCAGATGGACATTTGAAGAACAAATGAAGGGCATCTTCACGGTTCGATGCTGCCAGCTCACTCTTGGCCCATACATTCTGAGCCAAGGTAACCCTAGGATGTCATCAAACTTTTCATCCAAATCCAGTACGATGGAGTCATCATCGTACTGAAAATCATCTAGCGTGCTTTCGGATTCCCAATACACGTTTCTCAACGGTTATCGAAGCGCCTGTGGCAAGACACACCGTCATCCTCACTTAAGGAGTGTCGCGCTCAGCGAAATTAAGCCTTTGATCCTCTAGCGACTGGCGACGAACAAAGTTTCTCGATGCCTCACCACCAACTAGGGCGCGAAGTGACATTCGACTTGATACTTCGATCTTCAAAGTGATGAGGGATGGACGCCTCATCACCAGGGGCAGTAACAAACAGAGACTATGTGTTGGAAGCAATCTTCATCAAGAGTCCTGCAAATTCACTTGACGTTGCTGTATCAACAGGGTGCTCCGTCCCTACTGACCCTGACCGTTTGTCGAAGGTCTGACTTGCTGTCGCGGCTTGGCGACATGGTCGGACCCACGCCTAGAACTCTTCCTTCGCCAACGGCGGTCATCACGTCCTGTCTTTGGACGTGTTGCAGTACTCGGGACACTACACTCATGAGCGTAGTGTCCAACCTTCTGACAGCGATGGCATTTTGCCGTTCGCTTGTGACTCAGAGATCTAGATTTCTCGCTCTCGAAGTAACAGGGGTCCATTGGTTCGGGACCTCCTGTTTCCTGCCGTCTCGTCGGACGATAGTTTAACGAGTTAGCCTGAGACTATCTCAGGTTTAAGTCTTCTTGCTCCGTATACGCTATCGCCTGTTCTAGCATATGGAAGTTCTTTGGAACATGTAGGTCTTCACCGGCCCATCTACAAGACCGTAGATGAACACCTTGATGAGAGTGTGCTCGTCAACAGGGTTCTCCGTGACGCTGCTCGCAAGGTAGCTTAGATTTTGTGCGTAAGCAAGCACATCACGCTTCCTTGCTTGAGCCTCAAGAGTGCCGAGCAAGCTCTGAACTCGGCTCTTGGTGGCTCATACGTCTCTTTGAGTCGACACCCCAAGATTATTAAAGACTTAAACACGATTGGGCCGTGAAGCTTGAGCCCTAAGGCCCAAGTCTTTGCTCGTCCTGTCAAATTTGTCAAGGCGAAGGTGACTTGCATCTCGTCACCCTCGATGTGGCGGCCCCTAATGGCGTCGTCTAACTCGAAGAACCATCTCAACTCAACCAGGGAATCTGCATGTGTTCCCTTGTATCTTAAAATGTCAATCTTCAAGTTTTCAGGTCGACGCGTGTGCTTTGGCCCGCCCATCTACTGATGAGAGCCTTGCTGTTGTAGCAAGGCTATCTTCCGTCTTTTGATGGCAAGTTCCTTGTGTAGGAACTTGTTGATAGCAGCATGCTGTTGGCCTCTGCTTAGAGAGCCCAACGTCCCACTGATGGCGGGTTCGCCCATGATCACACTCATGCGGCCGACTACCTCCCATTCTGAGTCACTCGGATGGGAGTAGTCTTCACGTGTGACGTAAAAGCTGTCGTCTTCTACGTCCGACATGGTCATGTTGGACGGACACTAAGTAGCTGTTGGACGGACCACAAAGTGCTACCAGTTGTAACGGGACACCCTATGTCTAGTTGCCACGAAACTTCACGTACGCTAGTGCAGAGGAAGCTAATTTACTCAAACAGCTAGTTTGAGTAAAGGGTAAAAAGAGAATTGCATTTGATATCGTTAAGCTATCAATAGTACAGCAGTTTTTATCTAACTATCTTAATTGCGTCACGTATGAAGACAACCTGCTCACCACTAATTGCGCGCGTCTAGCAGCGATTGGTGGTAATCTATGGTAGATATGTCTTATGTCAACCAATCTTAGAGCAGCGCATGAATATTATCCAAAAGGGGATAATGTTCCTTCAATATTACCTATCTTGGATAATATCGGTAGAACATTGTAATGCTAGACAGTACTCCTATTGACACCGTTTATTGTCAATTTTATGTAACGGGCTACTCCGTTACACCACTAGTTTTGTTGACCTTAGCCTGGTATCTGGTTCTTAGGTAAATGACTGCAATCGCGTCCTCCTGTGCACATCACACATGGATGATATTCGTGGAGTCGACTTTTGTACATCAATTGCAAAGCTTTTCTTAAATTCATAGGCGTGATTAGATTACTCTGCGAGCTCTAGGTTGTGAAGAGTTTCTACTGAAAGGTAATAAGAGTGAGAACCACAAAAGACACTCATTGTAGTTTTTAAGGAGTGCATTTAACGGCAGATGTGTGAGGGCGGTCAATACGCTTGAAGGATACCCACTGAGCTCCCAACTATATTATGAATTGCGGCAATCCACTGGTATTGTGGGTGATATGCTTGTTCTTTTAAGTATTTCCTACCAGACATATCAATTGTACAGTTTTGATAAGTGTCTCTGTCTTCATAGGCTTTCATCGGTTATAAAGTCAACGAACGAAGTCCAAATAATTAAAAGACATGTAAAAGAAAGTAGGTAACATGTATATATAGATGGCTTAGAGCGCGTTTTAAGGATAATTGAGTGGCACTTCAACTACTGATTGGATACTGCTTCGACGAGATGTCACACAACGCCATTTTTTAATAATCACATTTATAATACCCTTTTTGATTGCACTTTTATCCTCGAATCGTTTTGTCGGTACTGACTTCCACCCCTTCATCACCACAATTTAGTACCTAGGCTCGCCTATAGCGACGCCGCCACCATATTTCTCTCTCACCGAGCCCAGGAATTTGGCTTTGGCATGCTATGACATTCTTCGTGGCAGCAATTGCTGTGTGTGACTTTTTGTTGTTGATAATCGTGTCATAGTTGTCCTGGGCAGCTTTAATGCGATTCGGCATAATGATTTTACGGTGGTACGTCTTGCCATTCTTCTTTTTACAGTTCGAGTATATTGTGCTCCGATAATTTACAGCGAGGTGCGAATGGATCTCCACCTGCATACAAAGCAAACGAGTGATTCACTTCGATCTAAACCAAACAACTCTTGAAGAAAAAAGGCAGGCTGGTCACAACATGCTCTTTTAATGCCGACATACATGCATTGCGTCAAGTAGACAAAGCAGGATTTGTAGACGGACAAGCTCTCATAGCTCATGCATTACTTCCGATACCCAATAGCGATAGAAGCTGCAGCGTGTCCATGTTTGTGACGAAGACATGCAATAAGAACACATTGAAGACTACATGAAGATAGCAGTGGCAGCCGTTAGCTATTCAACAGCTATTTACGGTCAATTTTTGCATCAATTCAGTCACTTCGATTAGTGTCGTTGCTGTTACAAAAGATCCCGGTTGTAATTGTTTTTATTGAAGCACGCTGCCGAATGTGCAAAGGCGTCGGTGTACTTAAAATACCGCACCGGCCAATACAGCTTTAAAATTAACGAATAGACCAAAGATCACACCTTCATAGGCTACAAAAATATTATGGCAAGACCACTTTATTGCCTTACATTTTAATGCAATTAAAAATCACATATGGGACGTACTTACATAGAAGTATTGTTTCAATCATAGGTTCAACGAGAAGTTCAACAAATGTTTGAATAACCTTCATGTAAATTCTCTTTAACACTCCCATTTATTTAAGATTAATGTAACTAATGATAAAATTTGCTTCCTCTTATCTGTAACACGCTTTGTAAAATAAGTGTACGCGATGTAGCAACTGTGTTTGTAGAGTTAATCTATCGTCATGAAGGTGGTACTTGATGCCATTTTACAGTACTTGTCAAGCCTCAAAAATTGTCCGTCTATGGCTTGATCCACGTGCTGTGTAAAGAGGATGTACTATTGCTAGCCCGAAGGGAGAAGTGTAACGGGTTGCCTCCGTTACTGATAGTTTACACAATGCGAATGTCAACCATAAATAGCTGTTTCGTTTGGAGTACTAGACTGTCCTTAAAATAATGGCTAAATTAGCAATACTTTGTTGCAGTAGTAATGCAATGCTCGTTGGTTGATATTCATCAGCAATATCAGCTAATAAAGCCGACCCACGACAGAATTACGCACTGAATGGTGAGCTGATAGTTACGTTACGTGTTTGTTATCAAATGTAGTACAATAAAGACTAAATGGGATTAAATGAAAGGAGGTTAGCTATGCTAAAACACTTTTACTTTTACCCTTGTCTCGTGTTGAAACCTTCCTTTGCACGACGCGTGTAGGTGAAGTCTCGAGGCACAAATTCACTCTGCTTCAGTGTAAGAATTACGTACTGTGACAGAGCAAGCAAGCTTTGCCCCGTTACAGTCTCTCTCGATGGCTGCTAACGCTGCTGTTCCACGGTTCTTATGGCTGGAATACCACTGATTAACCTTCACTATGTCGTTTCCTAAGCGACGCTGCTGACTTATCTATATTGCCTTGCTACTTCTCTAATATTTAAGTTTCCATATTGTACCATGAAGTCGTGCCGGCTTGACGATTGTTGCCGTTAAATTTATGATCAACGGGGTATGCTTGTCACATGAGATTAACCGTGATACCCGTTGATAAAAATTATATCATAATAATTACAAATGTTCGTAACTATTACCATTAGAGGTATTATTCAGAAGCACCCACCAATTGGCTGATACAGGCCATCATTTTAGCCATCTCTAGCGGTCCGATCAACGATGGACGCGCGCAATGAGTGGTGAGCAGGACTTAAGCATACACTTTTGTGGGTGAATATATTTAGGTTAGGTTAGGACTAATATACAGGTAAATGATCAGGAATAAAGAATACAAATACGGTTTTACTTTCTACTCCTATTGGACGCTTAGTTCACTAGCTAGTCTTCCTCTGCACGTACAGTGTACGTAAAGTGGCGCGCGGCACTACCTACACCGTTGTCAGTGTAGGTGTGTTGGTACTGAAGCGGTGCTAGCTATCAGTGCCCCGTTACACCTAGTAGCACTTTGTAGTCCGTCCAATGCCCTCAACCCCTACATCCAACATGAAAATGTTGCATCGTGATATTGACTGCTTTCACGCCTCGCGTGGGATCTACTCCTATTTGAGTGACATCGAATCGAGTGCGGTCGAACGAATGGGTTCGACCGTTGGCGAACATGCCGTCTCTGCCATGCAGTCCGCACTGGACAGATATGGGCTGCAGGCTCCATCGACAAGTTTATACAACATGAATTTAACGATTCACGAGATAAAAATAACCTTGCTTCATCAACAAGGTTCTAAACTGGCAGAACTGTTTAACGAAAAGGTTCCCAACAACAATTCGAACTGTTGCGAAAAAAACAGGCTTATGCTGCTGTTCCCGGGGGCGACGCACGCGCGTAGACCCGAAGCTTTGAGGAGAGACATCCAAAAGTACGTAGAGTCAAATAAGACTCCCTGCACAAACGGTTTGTCGAGTGGGACGACGCCATAAGGGCTCATCACGAAGTAGATGAGCAAATGCAAGTCGTATTGGCTCAGTTGAACCTGGCCGGACGTGCAAAACCTGGACATTAGGGCTCAAGCTTCACGAGTTATATATGTTTTGGTCGTTGGAGGTCTTCTAGACTCGGCTCGGACAAGCGTATGAACCCACAAGGACTGAGTCCAGGGCTCGACCAGATCTCCTAAAACTCAAGTAGGGTAATCGTGATGTGTACACCTGTGCCCATCACATAGGACTCCTTGCGAATTGTATCACGGCCAACCAGGTTCATGAATACGCATTAATTACTTTGTTCATACAAGGTCTTGCTGATGGTCCCGCCAAGAATCTCCTGTTGTGCTTGAAATTGGATGCGCTAGAAGAAGCGATATCAGTTGCGGAACAGGAAGCATTTAGCTTAAGACAGGCTCATTCTTGTTCGGGTTCATATCGTCCCCCAAGGCGACAAGAAGTCGGACGTCCAGATCCTGTGGACCTCTGTTATCTTTAGAGCAAGTAACCTCGCTCTTCAACTAACAATCGATTGCAGAAGTGCAATCTCTGTCAGAAGTTGGTAAACTACTCTTACGAGTGTAGAGCTCTAAGCCCAGTGTCTCAAAATACTGAGAGAGCGGATAGAAGATTTGCCAAGAAGGTAAAAGGATGCGGGTCTAACAATATTACCATGTTGTGAAGGGCCGTTACACTGTTAATATGTTGTTACAAAATATTAACAGTGTAACGGCCCTTCACAATATGGTCGGGGTCAGTAAAGGGGAACAGCCTACTGATCCGGCAACGTCAAGAAAATTTGCAGGGCTCTTGATGAATTTTGCTTCCAACACATAGTCTCTGTTTGCTACTGCCCCTAGTGTGAGGCGTCCATCCCTCATCACTTTGAAGATCGAAGTATCAAGTCGAATGTCACTTCGCGCCCTAGTTGGTGGTGAGGCATCGAGAAACTTTGTTCGTCGCCAGTCGCTAGAGGATCAAAGGCTTAATTTCGCTGAGCGCGACACTCCTTAAGTGAGGATGACGGTGTGTCTTGCCACAGGCGCTTCGATAACCGTTGAGAAACGTGTATTGGGAATCCGAAAGCACGCTAGATGATTTTCAGTACGATGATGACTCCATCGT